GATTATCGAAGCATGAACAGGAATCGATGAGGAACTCTTCGAAACTTAGTTTCTACTATGCCACGCAGGCTCTTTGATGTTGCTCTTAAACAAGGAGGAGCTATAGATTATTAACTGCTGTACTTATGCCATCAACATTAATAAATCATTTACTTTCTCAGGGTGACCTTATAATTATGAAACGGTGCAAAAGCCGACACTATCTTTAAAAAATTCATAAAAAATTAGAGGTGAAGGATATTGCACCAAAATTTGACTACGGAGGTACATTGTGATGAGGAATCTTCCTGTGTTTGCCAAAAAATTCCATTCCGGCTGCTTTCTCCAGAATCGCAAAAGTCGAGGGTGACCTTATAATTATGAAACGCACTGTATTGAGTATGTCGTGCATTTGCGCAAACAAGATATTGCATTAACTTCGTGCCCGGAGTTTAGCAAAACAGTTTATTACTTTTCACATACCTGTTCCACGTTACACTTATGCGAAACCACTTCGCTCGTGAAGCCGCCCCGGAGGGTCTGCCCGGTACACCGTACGGAGCTGTCTTTGCTACATGTATTTTTATGCAGAAGTCATGCCATTCTTACACCCGCATCTAGTTAATACATGCAGTAAGGTCAGTGAACAGCAGCTTCAAACGGTGGAATACCTTTCTTTGGGAGGAAACCCTTGTAGGCGCGGTGGAATACCTTTCTTTGGAAGGAAGCCCTTGTGGGCGCGGTGGAATACCTTTCTTTGGGAGGAAACCCTTGTAGGCCTTGTAATTCTGAGCGATACTGCATTGGTGAATATAAAAGCGCCGGTCGGTTCGCCCGGCTAGCGCCGGGCTTCCCTCCTTCTTTGGCAAAGTTGTAGTATTCGGCTATTCTCCACTCCTTCTTTGAAACGAATAATATTTTACTGTACACGAAAATGGACACAGGACCAACAGAGCAGTGCAAATGGTATTCCGTGTGAGTCGGTGCTCACGACTTCAAGTGGAAATCTTGATCATGTGCTCTTTTTCTCAAAATAGAAGACTCATCAAAGATTCAACTGATAGGTAACCAAAGACTTGGACGGTGCTCGCAAATGTTTCCAGTGGTGATACACTGTTCTCTTTACAGAGATATCATTAATTGAGAATTCCAAATGCCTGAAAGTCGGTTAAGTTTTGTTGCAAATGATATCGAACAAAGAGGGTCCTTCATATGAGTACAAACCTTGCTGGGTAGCGGTACTACTACCAAATATCAACCCAGTGGGTCCACGTAAATAGGAGTTATGAATCTGCCGCCCAAAACTTTTACTGCGCACGCCTCGCCCTCCGTAGGCGGAGTCTGATCCTGCTACCTGCCATGAGTGGTCCCATTCTGTCGCTTGTAATCCCACGAAATTTCAACACTCTTGGTTCACTGGAACATGAGGTATGAATTTCCGGTCAAACACACACACTGACACATACACACACACATACACACTAACACATACAAACAAACACACCGACAAACCAACAGACACACAGCAAATCATATATAGTAGGATTCTTGGTAGGTGATTTATCTCGCTGCAATGATAAAGATCACACCATAGAGCTCTAAGAAGGTAGGTTCATTATTTCATATGGATGTTTTCAAAGTGAGTGGTTTGTAGCAACTATGACTCACTTTTACTCCATCTTGTTCCCACGTCGTGGATTCAGGTTCTAGCTCAAATGGTTTCGTCTGCAGTCATTGTTTATGTGGTTCTATGCGGCAAGAAAAGTCCACCAAAAAAGCAGGAATGTTTCATTACTAAACCGCACTCCATTATTCTCCATATTTGATCACGAAACCAGACGGGTACCCCGGCTCACGCCGAGCCTCACTCTTGACTTTACAACGTAGATAGAAGTTGTAGTTACGGGGAGGAGGGAAGGGGCATTGCTACTATTCAACACAGAGGGCTCTAGTGCGAAGAAGGATTCGTAGTCGACCTTAAGGTATGGAGTATGGTATGTAGCTGTATGTAGCTAGGATGGAGTATGAGTGAGATATTCAATTGACTCATCCACCCTGGTGCTCCTTCCCTCCTGTATGTTCTTGATTGTGAGCACAATTATGTTCTGACCTCCTTATCTCCGCTCTAGCGCTCACTGTTGAATAGAAGCGGGGGTTCTTCAACTACATTATTACCTCCGATTTTTATATGAACATACAAAGCGCGAGGTCAGAAAAGATCGAAATAGCAGTTTTGAAGTACCCGCTTAACTTCACATTACTCACTTCACTCCGTAGGTTATATATAAGAAGGAGATGTGTGATAGAGCTGGATAGAGCTGGGTTTTCCACATCACTACCTTTAACGTAATGATAAATTTCACGGAAGGACAGAAAGACAAACACGCAAACCGGATACCGATGTACCAAGTTGCTGCCTTATAAATAAGAGGCCTCAAATGGAAAACTCAAAATTCTTGCAGTTATTCCAAGTTGAGGGTAGGCATTAACCTAAGAAGCAGGCCATTTATGAAATGGGTTCTGGATTTCTGCTCCACCTTAGCACCCATTTGTCACATACTTTTCGATGTGATTGCTCTCATTTGAAGTTGATACATTCGAAAAATCAATGAGATACAAGTACAACATGAAGTTTCAGATGAAGTTCGCAGCACCGGGAACAAAACCACTGTCCAGATGTGAGCACCCTCTCAATTCATCAACAGAATTTCATTCCTAGAATTGAGTTCTATTGGATACTTATTTCAGCGCGCAGCTCAGCATGTAAGTCCGATTTCTTGCATCAAGAAAAATGAAACAAGCTTCACAAAATGGACTACTACGCGTGCCAAAGAAGGATTAGTCTCTCACAGACAAGATATAGGCCTCTTCAGAACAGACCAGGAGTAGCAGACTATTGGCACTTCTTCAGTTCAGCTAGAGAAAGAATATATGTCAAGACTAACAAGTTCTTTCAGGGCGTGGGACGCTTTTTGAAAATGGTTTTTTGCATGGTGTAGGGGCATGAGCACTGAGTATAAATCTATGGTCCATTTTCGCTAAATGGCCTTCTGAATGCCAAAAAACGACTGAAAACGATTTTGTCAGAAATCGCCGTTTCAACCCACTCAGCGTCGTTTGTTTCATTCATGGCGTCGACTGTCCGTACAGTANATCAATGGACCCTTCTCTTTACAGAGATATCATTAATTGAGAATTCCAAA